AGACGATTTTACTTGTGAAAATATAGCTTAAACTATCTTCTTTCAATTGCTGAAGATTGTAGGTTTCTATCATTTTTCTATCAAAAGTTATTTAAAAGAACAGACGAGGCCACTGTTTCTTTGAATGAACAATAATTTAGATGTGGTTTTTAAGGCCCTATCTCCAAACTAGGTATTATTTTCCTGTTTTTAGTCTGCTAATTGGTGATCTGTATGCATGATAATGAAAAATAGAATAGGTATATACTTCTTCAGCTTCTTGAAAGGCGTTAAACACATCGTATGGTAAGCATGCCAATAGATCAATAACAAACCAACTTTTGAGATATGTACGCCGAATACGCTTCGGATCAGATATCACTTCACCAGATTCTAAAACAAAAAAAAAAGAATAGTGAATAATATAACCCGAAGGAAACCAAAAATGCTTTGGAAAAAATTTCTTAAAGAAGACTCGTGGACGTTTTTATTGATCAATAGCTTCTGAAATGCACTTTTTAAACCACTTATCTACATGGTAGTGAGATCTGAATAGTGATATATCTGAATCGATTTCCTATGTAATCTCAAGAGTCTAAGTCAAATATTTTCAGTTAAAATATTCTTCTCTAGGTAGATGTTACATACTTGCATGCACATATGTTGTATGAAAATTCAATATAATATCGATAAAAAAAATAACATCAACAATACTATCGACAACTAATAGTGGTACATCATCGAGAGATTTGCTTTTAAAAGCTAAAACGTATACATAGAAATAGAAGAAGAACACTGAATAATAGCAATGAATACAGTATATACCAGCGTGATATGGCACTAGCACAGATGTATAAAACGTTAATAGTAGGATAACCCAATCCCAAACAGTTTTAAATGTACAATAATGAAGAATAATATGTGGAGGTGTGTTTGGCGCTTCTTGACGATATTTGGGTAGTACTTCTGCACCAAGATTTAATAGCTGCATCGAAATATAGTAGAGTACGTGTTGCTGAATGAAGGTAATATTTATTTATCAATGATTTTACTTACATTCGGTAGCGCAGACGGTTTAGATGGATCAATATGAATCGATTTTACATTTGGTGCAGCAAAATTCATCAATATCGATCGGTTTCGTGTTACAGATTTTGCAATTCGTGCAAATTTGCTTAAACCACCTAGAACAAAAACGGATGATACAAAATCGATATTATACAGGTAGGAACACAACACCTTTAGCATCTTCTGTTTCGATTGGTTGTTTCAAGGCAGTTATATCAATAAACGTGCACAAATATAAACATACTACTTCTCGTTCGTTAATAATTGGAGCTATCTGCATAAAAACCCATATTGGAGATTCTAAAAATTTTTGAAAAAATGAGATCACTAGAAAAACATTTAATTTTTTGGCAATGAATTACATACTGTTTTTCTTATATAAAAGTATTTCGATCTGTTCGATATGACAACCTTCCTAAAGAAGAGAAGGCAACTTTTATGAAAATATAAAAATATAATAACAGCGTACCAGTGCTTCTCGTATTTTTGCTTGCATATCCACAGCCGTTAATTCACCATACATAAAACTACAATTTGAACTCTTTTGCATCAAGTCAGTTCGTAAATAGCCCGATAATTTTGTGAAGCCATCATTAGAATAAACAATAGGATAATCCACGATTTGCGCGTTGGATAATATAAATGCATTGTCTATAGAATAGAGAAAAAAATGATTAAGGTTATCAAAATTGAGACTTATTTTTTGTTCCGTTCTCTCGAGCTGTGGACTTCAGTTTGTTCATGTTTTGCACAGTGAGCTAGTAGGGACCTTCGGATATATGATGATGAACAAGGATTTATTGATACTGTCTGCTTCGAATTTCAACAGAATTAATTTCTACGGAGTCTTTTCCACGAGATATAAGTATTTTTATCAGCAAAAACTGACAAAATCGCATTTTTTCCACAACCTGGTAAGACTGAGCCTCATCGAGCAAAAGTGTAGACAACAGAGTGCTCAAATCTCCTGATGAAAATTCTCCTGATTTCAGGAGCTTTTAAGATTTTCTCTTGGTTTCTCCTGATTTTCAATTGTTTTCCTGTATCGACTTTAGCGACATTTTGGACCAATAAAAAAGCGGAGAAGTAAAAGAGAACTGGCGTGCAGTACAGTCATATTGCACAAAAAAACATAGACGGTGTAGCAAACAGTTTGTTCTCCATATTCGCTTTGTTTTTCTTTAGTTCTTACCGGTTTCTTAAGAAATATGTGTCTGTTCTGTTTATAGTGTTAAATCAACTACTGGGAAAATAGCAGTAGAATACATTACATGTAATCATCTTTCTCTCCTTTCCTTTGTGTCGGTTGTAAGACAGACCTTCTCATTACTTGGTTGGCAAAAAAACGTCACACGCGTTTGTGGAAATGAAAATTTTTCTTATCCAAGAAAAAACTGCCTTATACTCTGCTGTTTTTCTCCTGATGTTCCTCCTGATTTTTTAGAAAAAATCTCCTAATCAACTCCTGATTTCTAAAAATTGGATTTGGGCACCCTGGTAGACAGGCTTATTCAGCATACTGGTCTGTTGCCTATAATTGATATTCTAATAATTCGCCTGGTGTTTTCTGCTGTTCGACCCTTTTCTCACATTCCTTTTTATACCGAATGAATTTGAGGGCTACACAAACATTTCATATCAGCTTGGTAGAACTAAAAGTGATAAGACTGTTTTATTCACGAAAAGTGAGAGTCATCAAAGGTCACTGACCTATAATAACAATGACTCAAGCCAAACAACACAAAAAGAGTAGTTAATTGCGACCGCTGACGAAAAAAATCAATACTTTACGATGATGCCAACAATGAAAGAATTTTATACGAAAAGCTGGTATATTTAAAAAATTTGCTTTTATTGTGTAAAAAATTATTTTTTGAGAAAATTTGATTGATTAAGTTCCAACTTGTCTATGCCGGCGCCGACTTTTGAATCGACTATCATCTGTTGGTAGAACGAGTAGACATGTATTAAAAGAGTCTTTTTCTCTAGTATAATATGTCTGTGATACTCTATTAATAGACACACGGTACCTAGAATAAGGACATCTAGGTTCTCTTTTAAAGATAACTTTTATATTCAGTTTTCTTTATTCTCTTAATAATAATATATTTCAAAATTTAACAATATGTGTTTTTCCACTGTTCAACACAACGTTCTCGAACTATATTATTTTTCAATGAGTGCAATAAAATTTCGAAATAGCCATCGATTTCGCATTACAGCTGTAAATGAGATATCTGACTCGAAAGAACAAAACAAAGAGACCTCCAGTTGATATAAGATAGTTAAAAGAAGAAAATATCTCAGAAAACGGAATTAATGTATATGATAATTAAAGGATGCATTCTGGGTTGATTCGAAGATTCGCTATTCATTAGTACTGTTGATTCAGTAGTCATTTATCGATGTTTAATGCCGAAAACTCTATCGTTAGTTACGTTTGACCAAGCTCTAGTAGATCTTATTAAGACATAATTTTTTTAATAACAAAACGTTTTTATTCCAATATAACTAGAATAAAACGGAATGATGATAATGAGACTTGACGATAAATCCTCATAATAGTTCTGTGAAGTTAGAGAAAGAGTTCGTTTTAACATTTGCCAAATATGCAGAATGAACATTAAGTATCCTTGAAAATGATTTTAAAATAAAGAAAAAAATACGGAAAAAAAGATTTGATAATAAAAATAAAGGTTATATATCTGGCTCTACAGAATATCATTAGAAAATTTAGTGCTCATTTCCCTCTGAACCAAATTAGATAAAAATTAGATGCCAGGTGCAAAATTTCTCGATAAATTCAATAGTGGATTCTAATTAATTTTATTTCGACCTCTCTTCAGGCATCGACATAATCTACATGATTTTTGTCTAAATTTTATTATTCTCATTAGTTGAAAAAAAAAGCGCGGATAAGAATAATAAAATTTAGACAAAAATCATGTAGATTATGTCGATGCCTGAAGACAGGTCGAAATAAAAATTAAATGGAATCCGCTGTTAGATTTATCGAGAAATTTTGCACCTGGCATCTAATTTTTATCTAATTTGGTTCAAGATGGAGTGAGAACCAAATTTTCTAGTGCATTCAGTTAATTTTTATTGTTAAAAATTATTTAAGAAAACTACTTTAAATTGTAATATTCTTGACGTCTTATATTTCCGTTCATTTTTAAATAAATTGATTGAGGGTAAATTTTAAATATTCTGAAGGTTTGAGCCGATTGCGTTATAAACTCTTTTTTCTAAATTATTAATAATTGAAATATATATCAGCAAAAAAAAAAAAAGAAAAAAAAGAAGTGTATTCTATCCTTATATGGTAATATAAAATTTTTTTTAATTTAAAAAAAAGACAACTTTAAAATAATAAAATCATGTATAAACATTTTATATGCATAGAAACATTGATCAATTATTTTTTTAAATTAATTTTAAATGTACAATGTACTAAAAAAATCGTTGAATCTTTTTTATTGCGTTTTTTAATTTATTTTTAATCTTTCAAGTGTCCCATGTAGGTGTATCAAATCATCTAATTTATTTTTAATCATCAAAACTTGACGTGTGTTCAAAAACTATCGAGATCTTCATCCATAGAGATTTGCAAAAAAAATTTTGATTAGCACAAGTATTAATTTATTGTTCCCTAATTGATTGGGTTTTGTTTTTTTTCTCACTATATACAAACAGAAAATACATTATTTTTTTATTTTTTTTTGTTGTTTGCTTAGAAATACAAATTATTTTACTAGAACACTTTAATCAACTCTAAGACACTAGAATTTTAGACAGATATTTGACTTGTTCTATGAATATTATTTTTTTGTATTCAACAGCTAAATCTTCTTTAATTTTCCTTTTTTTTTTCTATTGCTTATAAAGAATATCTTGATTGATATGTACCAAGTATATCCAGACAACATACTTTAAGATGAAAATTTATACTTTTCTATTAAACGGTGATATTCAACTACTAATGGCTTTAATGATGGGCTCAGTAAAGGATTAATTCTCCGTTTCTCTTATATCGTGTTGAATTTATCCTTGAAAAATCGTTCGTTAAGTCTTTTGTTTATAGTTCACTTTTTGATACTATTTTAATAGAGAATAAATACTTTGAATATAATTCTATAAGCATAGTAAGAAATAAATATGATATCATGTGAATTAAATATTATATCCCCATTGTGTGAATGAAGAAGAAGAAGAAAAAAAAACAATAATAGACGATATTAAAAAAAGGAAGGAAAGTGTTTAATAGCTATACATTACAAATTGTAATAGTATCGATCATTTCCCAAAACGAGAAAATGTCACTACCATCTACTACCATAATAACAACAACAACAACCACAAAATAATAATAAAAAAAAATATATTTGAAAGATGATAGAACGTATAATGATGAAAATTATATACTTTTTCAATTCATTTAACCAATTTAAATTTACACACTCGTTTATATTATATACAGGAAACTAACATTTTCATTGAATTAGGTGAAAAACAGAGAAAGAGAGAGAGAGAGAGTGTAAGCACCTAATAATTATTAAAGAAAAATATGTGAAAATATACTTACTACTTTATTCTCTAGTTCCTCTATGTATGTTTCTAGGTTATTAACGTAGTGTAAAAATACAATGATACCATTTAAATAATTGTATCCTATCAACGGACATGAGTACTATGGTCTTTTAGTAATAATTAAACTGTCTGTTCTAGAACGATTGTAGTAATCTGACCATGTGAGACGAGTTCTAATATAATTAACAGCATTTAAACTAAATTTCTTTTTGCTAAATGTTACCATCATTTAAACGGATGTTTATGGAAGCAACATGGCATGCTACCGTTAAAAATAAAGGTGGATGGAGATTTTTTTCTGTTTGTGTAAAGTTTTCTTTTTTTCTTTTGTTACTATTTGGTTACGTGGTCCAGTAACAGAATTGTCTCCAATATAAAAGAAGTATTATCTCGTTCAAAATAAACAAAAAGAATCTGGAACTAGAAACCGTTCCAAAACAAAACAAAACAATAGTCACGATATCATATGTATATATTTATATGTGAATGTTTTATTTCAAGTTTGTAGGCGTTATGATCCTAACTTTTTACAAATAGAACTGTTAGTTTACTACATGATTGTATCTGATCTGATCCTACAGTTATAATGTATTGTTACTATACCATTGTTCTCCCAAATATTAGTAAAAACTATCTTTGCTTGAAATCGCAAAATGTATGAATAGTTTCTAACTGAAATGAACATATCACCGATAGAAAAATAAAGTTCATGCAGAAGTGTCTTTATTTGTATTCAGCACACTCGATAATCCAGAAGATTTTCTATTATTAAAAAAGTTTAAGAAAAATTTTTTAAACAAAATGGCGAAAAAAAATTTCTATGGATAAGAAATATTAGTTTCAAAATTTTTCTTAAACCTTTTTAATAATATCTCTCGTCAAAAATAGAAAATCTAGTTTATCGAGTATAGTGAATACAAAAGAGTACTTTTTCGCGATTATACATGAATTTTATTTTTCTGATAAGATGCAAAAAGTAGATTAAAATATGAGTTATTCAAATATTCTTTATCTATTTGTAAAATAATGAACAATAAATGCTTGAACACTCAAACGTTGAATAGTTTTAGAATGTGTGGAAATAGCACGTGTTATATTATAGATTTACAGTAAAAATTATCCTCTGTTAAGAAAAAGAAATTTAATGTTAGTGTTTAAAAATAGAATACAATTTAAGAAAAGCATTTGTCTACTTACGTGTTCCACTACATTTTCGAATAATTGATTCAAGAAATGTGTTTTGTGGTGCCACTAATCCTCGTCGCGAACCTGGCATTCGTCGTTTAAATAAAGTATTTTTCTAAATAAAATACATGTCTTTGATAGAGACAACGACGTGTTGTGTGATATATATATATATATATATATATAAATACGACGAAAAAAATGTCGAATATGGTGTGGTGGTTAATCGAAAGATGATGATGACGATCTTTGTCTTTTGTCGAAGGATTAGTATAGTTTAAAAAAGAAACAATATTTTCCACAATCACACAACATCATGACAATGAGCAAGAAGAAAAACTTTTGCAACAGCGTTAAACTATGAAAATAATATTTATATATATGTAGTTTACAAGTGTTCATAATGCGACAGAAAAAGAGAAAAGAAGAAGAAAAATATAACATAATATATTTATATGTTTTATATATAGATAGAATATATAAATAAAATTTTGAACACCGATTTTTCTTTAAATTTTCACATACTTGATTTTGAACTGGCAATAGATGCATTGATATTATATTCAAATTGTTAAAATGCTGATAATAACAGCGGTGAATAGAAGATTTTTATTATTATTGATCATCGATCTTAAATTAAAAAATGTAATATTTTCATATAAATTCATTAACAACGTAATGATAAGGTAGGGAGAGAGATGAACAAGCCAAAGTTTTTTTACTCATAAAATTTTTAAAAAATTTCTTATTGATAGATGTTCTTAGAATGTCGTGAGTAATATTGTCTACCTTCTTGTTTACTTTACTTTGGTTTACTTTGGTTAGATCAATTTTAATCAATTTTTTTTTTGTCAAATAATTTTTCAAATAGGAATTCCGAATAAGGAACATATTCTCGATTTTATCACCAAAGATTAATGTATTTTCGTACAAAAATTTCATAATAAGTCCGTCATATTTTTAGAAACAAACTAAATTTATGATACAATTTTTTTAATAAATATTTTTTATCTCAAAGTTTTGCTATAAAATGATCGAACACTACAAATAATACAATTGTAATGTACACAACAATTTTTTACATTTTAACTCAGCTATGAATTTTCTTTTTCAATAATAAATCTTCTCTGAATTTTGAAAGATCTGTTAGAACGAGTGTACTCTCTTGGTCACATCTGAATGATATTGAAGTGTAAACATAGTTCATCGTTAAAACTATACATAATAGATAGAACACAAACAGACAAGTATTTTTAAAGTAGTTGATTAAATCATCTTAGAATTTTTCAAAAGTAAGTGTCTCTTTTGTCTGAGAAGAAGGAGCTAGAGTAACGTGACATTTTTTCCTCGGATTAAGAGAAACCAGGTGTCTAACGATAATAATAAAGATAGTCTAAAAATATGTGATGTAATGGTAATGTAGTAGGCGTAAAGAAATTAAAATTCATTTGACATCTGTCCAAGTGTGTACGAAGCTCCAGGACACGGTTTCGATTCTCTAAAATCTCCTAAAAAAAATTCTTTTAGTAGGAGTAAAATCTAAAATAGAGTTATATAAGAGGTTAAATAAAAAAAGTAAAAAATTAGCTTGGAATAATAATTGTACGGGAAGAGTCGAATTAATAAAATAAATGAAATAGTTTAGAGCTTGGCATAATAAAACTTATTTTTCCTCATCTCATTTACACCATGAATACGAATGATTACTGGAAACGTTAAGATAAAAAGATCGTTTATTGTTAATATCTGGACAGTCAAGTTTTCGCAACGTTTAGTTAAAACTAAGAATTGTTAATGATAAGTAAACGAGATAAAGTTATTTTAACTTTAATTATTTCAATTCACACGTACGAAAACTATCGACTATGTCGCACAATAAAAGCGAACAATCTTAGGAAAATTGATTTCCTCTTTTTCTTTCTCTTTTCGACACAGTTGAGGTTAAAAAATAAAAAACGTTGTGTTAATGTTTTAGTACAAAACGCACCAGACGAAGGAACCATATATATATATACATCAGTGACATCGATGTTACTATAGTTATTCGAAGTTTGTATGTAAGAAGTTTTATTTAATAAGATTCTGGACTGGGTTATGGAAAAACAGTTGTCAACGTAGATCATACAGTATGAAAGCGAAAATTTTTCTACATGTTAAAGGTATGATGCATAATCTTTTAAACATTCATACGTGGCTAAGTACGATTTTTCTTTAATGCAGTTATTCATTCCCGAAGGCAAGTTCCAGTGAGTGCTTGATTGAACAAGACGATATATAACCTATTTTTGTTGATGATGCTATCTAACAATCTATTCCAGCTTTTTTTCTACTCGCTTCAGGACATTTTTTTACTGATGCGAAACGCATCGTCTTAGCGTTTCATACCTTTTTTGTCTCATACGCTTGAGTTCTCAAATTAAACGCTTATTTTTCTTTTATTTCAGAACACTCTGCTTGAACCAATAAAGTCAAGTTTTTCTTCAAACCTATGTTTCTGTTTTTAATGTCAATCCAAATAGGCTTACACAACAAAGATCATATTTTTTAATTATGAGTGTCATTTTCTCAGCATAAAAATATAAAAAAATTTAAATAATTAACCGTGAGGTGAATACATAGTAATTTCAAAAAGTACGAGGATGAGAAAAGTAGTACTAACAAAAAATTGTTCTAAGAACCATTATCTTACAAAAGTAAGCGAGAGTGTTTCACATCTAAGAAATATCATGTTGCTAGTGAAACGCACTGATGAAGTAAAAGGGCATCAACCTTTCTCACTTTCATTTCATCATGAGATTCGAAACGAAATGGGGAACTATGGGAGAAACTTAAATAAATGTGAGATGAAAGTTTTCATTGTACCCAAAGTCTTATGTGTTGAAAAAGTTCAAAAAGAAAGTAGAAACAACAACTCAACTTTGAGGCTTAGATAACATACTGAAATGATTTATTTCAGATTCCTCACACGCGCTGAAAATCGTTGTGTATGTATCTGGCTACTGATTTTCTCTACTTGATTATTTCTCAATCAGAAAAAATGTTAGAAGTAGTTATAACCTATAGAAAAACTGTTGTATGTAAAAAGCTCTTTATACGACGTTGTAGAACAAAAACTAGAAGACCGCAAGCGAAAACTTTCTTCTGTGATCAAATAGCGTTTCTAATAAACCATAGATTTTTCATGCTGAGTACAAACCTTAAAAAAAATGCGACTTAGGATCAAATTAAGTCGCATTAATGTGACTTATTCTGTGTAAATAAGGCACATTAATGCGACTTAATTTGATCCTAATTCTCATTTTGTTTTTAGAGTGTTTTGGTAATTAAGTCCTTCTTGAGCGAGAGTGCGAAGTTCTGATCTGCAAAGACTTGTCAAGAACTTTTGGTTGAATAGATATTGATTTACTTAGTTTGTAGAACTGATCGAATTATTTACGTGAAAACGTTTCCAAAACTACGAAAGAAGTTTTAACAAAGCTTTAAGATTTTGAATTTTAACAACAACAGAAAATCCGAACTTTTCAACTTTTCTTTCACTAAAGTTGTTATAAATCTGTTACAACTTGTTCTGGAAACGTTTGCATAAAGATATTTTCAATGAGTTCTCCAAACTGACTAGAAAAGAATCTATTTAGCCGAAAGTTCTTGGCGAGTCTTCGATGACTAGGACTAGGAAACCTATGAAGGACTTAATTATCCAAAACGGTTATCAGATTCGTGATCAACATTGAAAATAACAGATAAAAATATGCACAAAATATTAAAAATCTTTTAATCACTAGGGAAAGTTTCTTCGTCAGCCTATATGTAATCGATTCGAGATTGTGTGCAAACACCGTGTTCTAGAAGAATTCTAAAACTATTCAACGTTTGAGTGCTCAAGCATTTATTGTTCATTATTTTACAAATAGACAAAGAATATTTGAATAACTCATATTTTAATCTACTTTTGCATCTTATCAGAAAGAAATCTAAGTATTGTGTACTCAAGAGGCATAGGAATGATTATGGAATTCGTGATCATAACGTATGACTTTCTTGAGTTAGGCGCTTGCTCATGTATGAACGCAAGTATTTCACTGCTGCAAGACTCTCGTGCGCTTCAAAAATAATCCTTGAAGGTGAAAATATCTTTCTGTACATCATGTAAAAAGTGCGGTATGTTGCTTTTTGATCACTTTTATAATATTTTACCGCGTTCCTTTACCACAGAGGTGGTGAGTTCATGACAAATAATATATAATACGTTTTTCAGTCCAGTCAACAACTTTGATTACGCACGCTATTCATTTTATCAAGGGAAGCAGTTTTATAAAACCTAGTACATACAAAATGTATAAAAAATTTCAGAAAAAAGTCATCGATTCACGATATAAATGTTGGATCATTAGTTTTAAAATTAACAAGGGAATATTAATGAGTGCGAATGCAAGGCAGTGATTGACTGACTACAGTTTGTATTCAACAGAGAAAATATAAGTCATCAAAATGTCATGTTTCCAATTTTTGAAATGAACAATGTTAATGTACGACACAAATAAAATCATAAGATAAATGTGTACATTTGTCATAAAGAAAATTTCTCAAAATTTAGAACCCATGGATGAGAGGTGATATATAGTGGTAAAAGATCTATGTATTCTCTTTTTAACTCATATAAAATGTTTTTTTGTAGAAAGAAAGAAACCTAACCATATGATTGTACTATTTAAAGTCAGACAGAAACCATTTTCTCTACTTTAAAAATAATTTTTGAATATGTTTGTAGATATACCTGGATAATCGCTCTTTTTCATATATAACAGGAATAGCGCACATGATACGAGTATAATTCGTGAGAAGCAATTTCCCTTGCAGATATCCTACACTTCGCATTTGTACAAAAGTAAACTTCGAATTTACTCGTTGAAACTGAGAAAGCTAAGTGAAGTAAATTGAAACATGGAGAATCCAAGATTTTAATAAAAATCAGTCCTTTGATGCCGAACAAACGCATTTTTATGCGAATATTTATCAATAATTGCTATGCTCATTTACACCCTCACCATCTTAGTAATCTTAGTGAAATTTGTCACGATAAAAGCACCTATCGCCGTAAGCATTAGGACTGTCATAATATCGCGATAAAATTTTATCCTAAATATCATGGAAATCATAGTGTTTATCACAATCAAAATATTTATCAGAATATGTCACGTTATTTATTTTGTCGTGTTTTGTCGATGCCAAAAAAATATTTACACAATAAATATCTTTTCACATTATATTTGATCATTTTTGATTTTATCATTGAGTTTATTACTTAAAAATTAATTGAAAACGATTGTTGGGGAGCGAAAAATGAAAAGAACCTGAGACACGATGAAAAGTCAACTATAATGAGTACAAATTCTTACTTTTCTACGCTCGATTAATAATTTTGTTCAGTTTCAAAAGTGATTTTTCACATAACAATATTTCATAATCATTTTCTCTTCTTTTTTTTTATATTACTATTCTATATAAAAAGAAAAAATATATTCATTCCAAAAAATTGTTATGGTTATTAATAACTCATTTATAAATAATATCATTGTATTTTACATAATCTGTAACCAAATAATTTGTTCGTTTTATTCTCCTTCTCGTTTTAATTATAATATCAAAATCTATTAATAAAATTCGTATGAGTAATATTAGAAACAAAAAAAAAAAAAGAAGAGGAACCTGCTTTTTGGAGCATGTGTTCCTTTTTTTTTAATTTTCTATTATTCAAAAATTTTTTTTTCTTCTCCTTTTGTCTATAATTTATTAGACATCAGTGTTACACAGATGATTCGTTCTTTTGTTGATTTCTGAGGAATATGCCACTTTTTATATTATACTATAAATGTTATTGAAAGAACACATAC